TTTTTTTTCGTGAAGTCCCATTGAAGAAGATGAAAGGTCATTCCGCGAAAAAAGTGAGTAGTGAACAGAAGAGAATTGAAAATAAAGGGACTTGGAAGGTTAATAATCGATTGATTGGTCAACAAAAGTCCAATGATAGGCGGTCCCTTGGAATGCGCCGTGCACTCGAATTCCGTGTATTATTGGATGAATAAAATGGCTGCATCTAGCTGGCCCGTTGGCTGTGGGTCAGTCCGAATTCATTGTTCCTTCTCCCAACTGAGTGACAGCTTCAGCTACCGTTCTTGGGAATGGTGGGTTTAGTCCATCTAAAGGGACTCCTCATTCGAGCTCTGGAACAACTTTGCTGGGCTTTTATGGTATCAGCCTCAAATTCGAGAAATGATGATGGAAGTAATGATTACTATATGTCATATCGAATGGCAGATTTATTATTCATTTGTTTTCTTTGGCATGACATCTACAAATCACCCTTAGTGCCATCGTCATGTGATGCGAGTGTCCTTCTAGCTTATCTCTACTTAGAAATTCGTTTAAGTAAGTTCCGTTCAGTCTCCTGTTTACCAGTAACTGTTGTCATTATTAATTCCTTAACTAAATCGTGTCTAAAGTTGTGTAGTATAGATAGGAGTTTCTTCTTCGTTATTATCAGCTCAGCTGCCCTGGCCATGCCATGGAATGCAGTCGATACTAGCTTTGCCCTTGTGAGAAGACTAATTCCCTATGCATATCTTAGTAGTAGGCTTCACGCTTGAAATAGCTCCTTGTTGTGAAGTACTTTCCCTGGAAACTGATTCATAAGTGCGGGATAGTACTGCCGCTCAGAGTCAAATGAACCTCCTTCGGTTGAAAGACTGACTGATGTTCGTGGTTGACATCCATGGCAACTCGTCATTGCCCTTTCGCCTCAAGCCGACTGTTTAGGATTTGCATCAAGGTCTGTCTCTTTTAGGGTGTAATATGACTTCTCTTCAGTAATGAACTAGCTCCAGTTTATTTTTGACTCAATTTCTATCCGCTTCTACACTTGCCTCGAAGTGCGCTTCCTCTCAAAGTTGCTATATGTAGTGTATTCTGACGTTTTGAAGGTTTTATTTTGAAAAGTGGTAGAATGTGGCAAGAAAAACGCTCAGGGCTGGGCTGGCTCAGTTTAACGACTCTCTTCTTTCTGAGCAATCGTTTGCTTGCTTTGTTTTCGAGAATAGGAAGTTTCAAGGCAAGGGCATCGAGAGCTTTGTTAGAATGTTCGAGAGGGGCATAAGCAACTAAAAGAAGATGCAAGCCATATGAGATGTTCTGATGAGTTACAAAGAGGTACTACGCTCCACTGCTGGTTATTCTTGGGACCACCATTACCGTACCGTAAAAAACTATTCTGGGATACTGTATGTACTAGTACTGTAAGAAAAAAGTGAACTGCCTGTGTAAATAGAGATTCGAATGTGTCAATTCGAATTTCTGACCCGATACATTCGATGTCTAAAGTTATCTGAGTTTTTCATTTTTTTGAATGTGTTGAGTCGATATTTTTGCGGATTATGCATTCAAATGCCTTCAGGATGCAAGGTGAAAGTGAATGCATGGCGCGTTCTGAAGGATTCGATCAATATCCAGAACTGGTCTTCCAGATTTTTGGTGGGAAGGGTGGTGGCGGCAAGTTCAAAGGCTCTGACAAAAGAGTTGTGGTGCCACGCAATGCTATCCACTTCCACTTGTTAATGGTGAACAATCCATTATTCTCCCTCGGTGGTGGTTGCGCTGCCGTCACCGATATCGCAGGGTTGATACATTCCTAGCATGAGAACACTTCAGGTTTTGCAGTTGCTTTGGAATTTACCTGCGACCATCAAGTAATATCTCAATTGTTATTCCCTTTTGTAAACACTTAAATGTAACTTATACCACTTAGTAGGATGAATTTTGCTCCCTCACACGGCGTCCTAAAGGCTCACCCATTGAATCGTCTTAGTAATTTCGACGGATGGGTCCGTTGATTCAATTATCTTTGAATGACAAGATTCTTGGAACCCGGAGCCTCAACGATGAGGTCTTTGACGTTGATGGAATAATAAAAAAGTGCAACGCTTTACGCTTCTGTTCACAATCGCCGACGGCATCTTCACAATTCAACAGTGGGCGGAGAGTAATCCGGGTTGCCTTTCTACTTGTAGATCCGTTCTCACTGGTTGACAATTTTCCGAAAAGGAGAGACCCATTAGTAGGGCAATCCCCACATTCATTCTCCCTTAGAAGCATCGTAAGCGGTATATACCCTTATTTAAATGTAACTTACATTGTTCAGGTTATCCTGACATTACACTTTGGGAACTGACTCCTGAGAACTGAGAATCAGCATGAGGTGAAAGGAATTGGAACTCAGTCTCTACGTAGGTTACTGGTAGAGGGGGTAGGGGGGACTTTCGGCCACTCGGCTCCTCCTAGCACCGACTTCCCTGGAAGCAACTTCGCACTCTTCCTTTCCGTATGTGGCAGCGAGGGCAGACTCTGACTGTTTTTCTGAACTTTAAAAGCGTCTCATTTGATTGAGTGATAAGAGCCGTAGATGTCAGCCCGACTGATTGCCCTTCACTTTTTTCTTGTATTTACTTCTTGGCTTATTTTTAGTATCTGATAAGCAATGTGTTTTCACGAGTACTAAGCCATGTGCTGAGCCCCTTTGATGGCATTATGGCTTCTGATTGCTTAGCGTCATCATCGTCACCGTGGATGTTTTTTGATGTAGGAAACACTTCATCAGAGGAAAATAAGAGTTTTTTTTTNTTTTTTTTTGTGAATATCTTGTGAAGGTGCATGGTTTTTCCTTGAGTAAAAGCAATAACTGCTAGTTATGGGAAATAGTCAAATATACTCTTGCATGATGCAATTATTGCTTTTAGCTTTCACTTACAGCTCTTACAACTACTACTACGTATGTACTTTTACGACATATTTGAGTATTCGAATCTTACCAGTTAATATCAAGGCTATTTATAAGTCATCAGTAGTTTTCAGTTAAACGAAAATCAAATCAAAAATAGAAAAAAGCCCTTGAAGGTACCGCTCTATGTGATCTATGGTTCCTTCTGCTGTTTTACTACGAACGGCTAAAAACTTATCACCTTGGCGAGTATTACCTTCACCTGCAAGCGTTACCTTCACCTTATATAGATTTCATGGCAGTAGACAAAGAGCGACCATTTTTTGGAGTGCAATGGTAAAAAAATGCATTGTGACAATACTGATACTAAACCTATGGATTATGGATCGTATTCTGAATTTACTGGGTGTTTACTCATGTCGTCCCTGAATTACGTCCTAATCTTAGCCAGAGCTATTATTTAGGGTTGAGTGCACGGCGCATCCGAAACTGACTACTCAATCCGGCAGTTTCTTGAAAGTATTAGAATTTTGAAATTTTCTTGACGTTTGTGTCATTAGGGATACTTCTTTCTTCTCCAGTTGTGCTGGAGGGAATTATAATGAGGAAAAGGAGGATAGGAGTGCGAGAGGGAGGGTGCGAGAGGAGGTGAGCATATTCGAACAAAATGAAGTCCAAGAAGCAGAATAACATAATCATGCAGTCGTGAGTTTTTGTCGCAATCAATTCTTCCCTGAGATGGTTAAGCGCTTTTAGTAGTCAATATAGCTAAGAGATAGAGAGCGAAGAAGTTAGATAAGATTAAGAAGGTAATAGATGGAGCAAGCCGATTAAGTAAGCTGTCCCTTTTGGCACTTCCTCCGCTCCCCCCGCTAATTTGGAGGTGTATACTCCAACCGGAACCGGCTTGCAGTAGGGCTTCTAGAGTACACACAGTGTTCGAGCCAATACACTTCATCGTAGAGCAACCTGAAGTCTTTGCGAAATCAGAATTCATAGAGTTCTAATGAATTGAAGCAGTCCCAGTGTAGGTTTCAACCACCTCAGCGATTTTGGGTGGAATACTGAAATATGGCGCCTTTCTAGGAGATTCCCCTTCAAAGAGCACTTTTTTGCTGTTAGTTTTGAAGTCAAAGAAGTTGTCATGCAAATGTAATTGCATACAAAACGAAAGTGCTCTTCAAGTTGATTACTATTCTTTATCTATTGCTAAGTAGCGTAATTAGTATGCCATGCTGTAACTTCTCGTGAATGGCTAATCGTTAAATATTTATTGCCGTTCACCTAGTTCTGATCCCCTGATACCGCCTTTCGGGACATTTGGTGTTCGTGCCATTTCGTGGACAGTTTCGTCAGCACCATTTCGATATCACATAGCAACGGGAGAAGGTGGGTTATGGGTGATACCGGCCACCTGGTCAGCACTCAACCATTCAGGCAGTCTTCGAACAGCCGTAATTCGAGTGAGTTCCATACAATAATGGGACCTAGGTCCAAAGTGTTCCAGCCTCACTACACTATGTATAAGCCCCTCGAGCATTTCCATGTCGTCGAGCATGAAACTTCCTTACGTCTTTTATTGAATCCCTTTGTCGCACGCATCACGTGGCTTTCTCTGAGCTGCCTTCAATTTGACCGTAGCAGCTTGAGGCGCAAAAACCTTGAGGTGTTTTTGAAAAGCCTATTTTCTCTTCAGAGCTCGATTTCTTCTACGTATTCCCGTTCAAATTTTTTGCATAAAACAATTGGAAAGTTCATAAAGCGATCCGAAAAACTGATCTGTTGTGTTCGACTCTGGAGAGTGCGCCATGCTTTCGGATTCCTCGTAAGGGAAATATTTGCATATTGTGATTCTCTGATACAGAAAGGGTTGGGTCAGTCTATGTAAGTTCGCTTTAGCATCCTCAATCCCTTCCCTCCAGCAGGATCACCTTCAATTCTCAAGTCCTATGACCATGTGCCTTCGATCTTGGGGCCTATTATACCATCTCGTTCTTTACCTCCTAATGCCTTATAGCAACTTGCCTCGCCGAGTTCATCCAGTTCCATGGGCTCTCCAATTTTCGGGCAGTCGTAATCAGCAGGATCAGAGTCCGACTTTGGAGTTTTTCCTTAGGTCTTTATGTGACCACGCCCACTTACTTTCCGTTTACATGGTCTAGTCGACGCTCCCTTCCTGGAATGTGGCTCTTTCTCGTCTCGTCCTCAATCCACCAAGTACATCACTGTTCCCATCTCTGGGAATTCAATCCGCTAACAGCTTTCCCGTTTTTCATCCTGCCACTTGCTGTCTCATTTTCTCCTCAAAAGGCATCATCAAACATCCACATCTCCCGTTGTTTAGCCATATGTTCATATTCCGCTTGAAATACTCTCTTTATCGCATAGAACCAACCAAAGTTATTCATTTTTGAGTAGTAGTGTGTTGTCGGTCTCTCAGTTGTTGGAGCGGGGCCTATTGAATTATCGAATCGGGGCTATTGTTAAAGTATAGGCTAGTGTCACGGAACTGAAAACCAAATCAGGGGTCTTTGTTCTTCTGTTGGGTCGGCGGTCCATAGGTTCGTTATAGGAGAAACCAGGAATTGATTTAGGACAGTTCCTGTGTTCCTAGCAGAGCCACCGCTTTCTGAGTAATGGGCTGCGAAGCACCTCCCGTTCCCTGACTTGATTAGCTGGGACCCTCTTGGAATCCTCGGAAGAAGCATCGCCACCTTGATTCAAGCCCACCATTGATAATTCTTGACGGATGCCTGCGTGATTTTCCGGAGTAAAAGGGGAGAAAAACCTCCACCTTCAGGCATACTCAGCTCTTCACCTGAACTTTGGACGATGTGAAGAGCAACGTCGATAATTCAATAGAACTTAACCCCTTTTTGACTCGGGTGTCCAATGACTTTGTTCTTAGAGTATCGTCGCAATAATTGCCTCTTGGAAATGTTTTTCGGCTCTCAGAACTCTCTTCTCTGGCGTCTCCGTCTCTGCGATGGACACCTCACTTGGAACCAGATTCACCTCCGCTCCGGCACATCACCTTGTTTGTTGTTTACCAGTCCAATGACTCGATCGTTGTTAGTTGAAGCATTTATGGATACCAGTTTTGATCCTGATGCCTCGTTCACCCGTACAGATCTAATCATGTTCGGCGCAAAGTATTCGATATGTTGTAGGGCGAAAAGCTTCCTTCTGGGAAACTGGGCCTTTCTTTTAGTCCTGGACAACATCCTACCTGAATACAATTCCTGTTTGGGAAACCGATTTTTGGTAACTGAGGTGAAATTCGTAGTCTCGTCGGCCATCTATCGACATAGCCGATGGTGTCCTTTCTGTTTGGGGCCGCCGCAGCCCCGGCAGCAACGCTCGACGGCTGGGTGCCTGCGTCCCGGTCGCTGCCGCTGCAACCACCCATCCGCCTCACTACCTTCCTTTTTACCAAAGCAGTCTACCATTTACAGTTATTGCTATTCCGTTTTTCTCCCAGATCATTTCATTTTCAATAGCCTTTTCAATGTCTTCCCATTCCCGTTATCGCTATTGCCATGACAACTTGTAGCTATTTGATGGCTTTCTTCTCAAGCCTCGTAAGGTGGGTAGGTGTATTACGACGAGGCGGCGGCTCTTGCTGCCGTCTGCATTCGGGCCAAGAGGATGCATCGATGCGCTTCGCTGCAAATAAGTAGAGTTAAAGTGAGCGGACAGCCATCTTTATTTACAAGTACTGTCGGAATCACAGACTACTGGAGATGTTATTGGGCAGTACTATCGATTACGATACGGTGATCGTGCAAAAGTAGGTCTCTTTGGGGCTGGAAAAACGTGAAAAATCGCCTTGTAACCCAGAAAGATGAACTGCCTCCTCCAGTCTATTTCTGATTCCTGAATACCAAGCTACTTCCATAACAAGTCAGTGTTAAAGTG